GGGATTAACATAAGAATAAAAATAAATAAATAAAAATAAAAAATAAAAAAGATTTTAAAAAAGGACATGGACTGGAGCCGATCATGCCCTCAATTCATTTTTTGAATTAAGGTTTTAATTCCATTACAGTTGACAGTGTTGTTAGTTTCAGGTGTACAATATAGTGATTCAACACTTCCACACATCACCCAGTGCTCATCATGACAAGTGTACTCCTTAATCCCCATCACCTATTTCCCCCATTCCCCCACCGACCTCCCCTCTGGAAACCATCAGTTTGTTCTCTAGAGTTAAGAGTCTGTTCCTTGGTTTGTCTTTTTTTTCCCCTTTGTTCATTTGCTTCTTAAATTCCACATGAGTGAAATCATCTGGCATTTGTCTTTCTCTGACTTATTTAGCTCAGCATAATACTCTCTAGCTCCATCCATGTCATTGCAAATAGCAAGATTTCATTCTTTTTATGGCTGAATAACATTCCATTATTTATATACCACATCTTTTTGTCCACTCATCTATCCATAGACACCTGGGCTGCTTCCATAATTTGGCTATTGTAGGTAATGCTGCTATAAACATAAGGTTGCATGTATCCCTCTGAATTAATGTTTTTGTATTTTTTGGGTAGATATCCAGTAGCGTGATTGCTGGATCAGAGGGTAGTTCCATTTTTAAGTTTTTGAGGAACCTCTACACTGTTTTCCACAGCGGCTATACCAGTCTGCATTCTCACCAACAATGTAAGAGGGTTCCTTTTTCTTCACATCCTCGGCAACACTTGTTTTTCTTGTGTGATTTCCATTTTAGCTGTTCTGACAGGTGTGAGGCGATAACTCATTGCAGTTTTGAGTTGCATTTCCCCTGATGATGAGTGATGTTGAGCATCTTTTCATGTGTCTGTTGGCCATTGGATGTCTTCTTTGGAGAAATGTCTATTCATGTTTTCTCCTCATTTTTAAATTGGATTATTTGGTTTTTGGATGTTGAGTTTTATCAGTTCTTTATATTTTGGATACTAACCATTTATCAGATATGTCATTTGTAAATATATTCTCTCATTCAGTAGTTTGCCTCTTAGTTTTGTTGACTGCTTCCTTCACTGTGCAGAAACTTTTTATTATGATGTAGTCCCAATAGTTTATTTTTGCTTTTATTTCCCTTGCCTCAGGAGACATATCTAAGAAAATGTAGCTATGGCCAATGTCAGAGAAATTACTGCCTGTGTTCTCTTTTAGGATTTTTATGGTTTCAGGTATCACATTTAGGTCTTTAACCCATTTTGAGTTTACTTTTGTGTATGGTATAAGTGGTCAATTCATTTTTAACTGAACGGTTTTGTCAATGAGGTCTTATTTCACTGCATTCTTATTATATGCCCTATTTTATACCATACATAAAAAGATTTTCAACAGCCTGATTCTGCCACATTCTTTGAAGCCTAATCAAGTACATCACAGATAAAAATTAAAGTGACAAATGTATTTAACAGCCATGATTTTAAAGAGCAATCTTTAAAAGATAAATCCCATTATTAGCTTCCATTAAGAGTATGCCCAATTTGGGGCACCTGGATGACTCAGTTGGTGAAGCGTCTGCCTTTGACTCAGGTCATGATCTCAGGGTGCTGTGATCGAGCCCCACATTGGGGTCTCCACTCAGTGGCGAGTCTGCTTCTCCCTCTCCCTCTGGGATCCCTCTCCCTCCCTGATCACTTTTGCTCTCTCTCAAATAAATAAATAAAATCTTTAAAAAAAAGAGTATGCCCAATTCACATATAATTCTTGCTACCCAGATTTAAACTGGTGATTTGGAGAATTTGCTATATAAATTCTTAGACTTTAAACTAGTAAATTAGGTATTTAAAATACAAAAAAAAGTATTTGCACAAATAAATCTTTATTTAGGTTCCTGGTCTCATAAGGTCAAGGATGTGTAAGCTAACAAGAAGGACACATATCATATACTAGCACTCAGCACAGTTGCCAAGCAGACACTCATTAAAGCCATTATCAAAGACCCAAGTTTTATACTTTTAACCAAGACCAATGTCTAAAGTAAAATCTAAACCTAAACGGGATTTACTAAACATATTTAATACTTCAAAATTCTTCTTTAAAAAAATGTGATGATAGAATGATTACCCGAACATTTTTTTTTTAAATTTTTTAAATTATTTATTTGAGAGAGAGTGAGCAAGAGAGAGCACAAGCCAGGGGAGGGGCAGAGGGAAAGGGAGGAGTAGACTCCCCACTGAGCAGGGAGCCTGATGTGGGGCTCAATCCCAGGACCTTGGGATCATGACCTGAGCTCAGGGAAGACGCTTAACTGACTGAGCCACCCAGGTGCCCTTACCTGAACATTCTTTTTATTTTATTTAGACATAGTGAGTGAGCAAGCGAGAGAACATGAGCGGGAGGAGGGGCAGAGGGAGAGAGAGAAGCAGACTCCCCGTGAGCAGGGAGCCCGACATGGGGCTCAATCCTGGGACTCCAGGATCATGACCCAAGCCAAAGGCAGGTACTTAACTGACTGAGCCACCCAGGCGCCCCCCCCTTACCTGAACATTCTTAATCATCTATATCTAATGGCTACTTGATAAAAAAAGATTCCAAATCAAATCAGTTCCCACTAAAAGGTAACTTTCATTATTATAAAAAACAAATCTTGTTCTTTGAATTTTTAAGATTTAAATAATGGATCTGTATGACATAGGGGCACCTGGGTGGCTCAGTCGGTTAAGTGCCTGCCTTCGGCTCAGGTCATGATCCCCGAGTCCTAGGATCGAGTCCCACGTTGGGCTCCTTGCTCAGGGGGGAGCCTGCTTCTCTCTCTCCTTTTGCCCCTCCCCCTGCTTGTGCTCTCACTCTCATTATCTCTCCCCTCTGTCAAATAAATAAACCAAATCTATAAAAAAAAAAATTTTTTTTAATAAATAAATGTCTAGATTAAAAATATTATTTCCATGCCTCCTGCTAAACCTCTTTCATGCCTAAGCTAGGCAAACACCTGGTACATACTCATACTTACAGAACAAAGCTGTCCATAGTGTAATTGCTTTAAAATCATTAATATAATAAAGATGTAACAGAAATAAGTAATTCACTAAAATGTTTTAAAGTCATTAGTCCCCAGTCAGAACACTGCAGTCCAGTGTTGGAAGCACTTACCTATCAATTAAAGCAATGATTATGTTCTTCACATTTACATTTTGGTGTAACTCAGCACAGGCCCGGAGAAAAGGATTCAAAGTTTGAAGGTGGAATTCATCAGGGAAAACCTAAAAATCAAATAATAATTAACTGACACAAGTAAAAGTATTTCACATTATATTCTGGACTTACGGTAAAGTTCATATTTGTGGAATCAATCGTTTAAATCTTACACAACTAAATTCAAATACATTACTTTTGAGCCTCTTTCAACAAAGTACATCTACAATTAAACTAAAACTAATGAGAACTAGAGAACTTGGAGATCAATACAAAGCCACGTTATCCGTAAGAGAAAATAATTCTTTACTCAGAACAGCTTATTTTCTTTTCTCTTTCCTTTTTTTTAAAAAGATTTATTTATTGGGGCGCCTGGGTGGCTCAGTCATTAAGCGTCTGCCTTCGGCTCAGGTCATGGTCCCAGGGTCCTGAGATCAAGCCCCACATCAAGCTCCCTGCTCAGTGGGAGGCCTGCTTCTCCTCTCCCACTCCCCCTGCTTGTGTTCCTGCTCTCGCTATCTCTCTCTCTGTCAAATAAATAAATAAATAAAATCTTAAAAAAAAAAATGTATTTATTTTAGAGAGAGAATGCAGGCGAGCATGCACATGAGTGGGGGGAGGGGCAGAGGGAGAGTGAGACCAGCAGACTCCCCACTGAGCCAGGAGCCCCATGCAGGGCTCGATCCCAGGACCCCCAAGATCATGACCTGAGCCAAAATCAAGAGTCAGATGCTCAACCCACTGACCCACCCAGGTGCCTCAGGATAGTTTATTTCTATTCTATCAAGATTTTTTTTCAAAACAATGAAAATTAATGAAGGATAAAATGAGTCTTTTTTTTTTTTAAAGATTTTATTTATTTGGCAGAGAGAGAGAGACAGCAAGAGAGGGAACACAAGCAAGGGGGAGTAGGAGAGGGAGAGGGAGAAGCAGGCTTCCTGCCAAGCAGAGAGCCTGATGTGGGACTCGATCCCAGGACCCCGGGACCATGACCTGAGCCAAAGGTAGACGCTTAACGACTGAGCCACCCAGGCGCCCCTAAAATGAGTCCTTTTAAAAGGTAAAATAAATGTCCTTACTTACCTGAATAATACACTCCATAAGATATTCTTGAGCCAAAGCATCCCTGCAATTCACAACTTGCTCCAATATGCCAGTCAAAACAATCTAAAAGAAAAAGGTAAGAGGTAAAACATTATTTTTAAATCCTAAGCCACTCCTCTAATAACGTATTTAAGCTATTAATTTGAGAATTTTATTTTAGATTTTTCCAACCCATACTTACTTTTTAAATTAAACTTTAACATTTTACAGAAGAATTTTTCAATAAAAATTTAATTCTGGACTTCTACTTAATAAGTCATTTAGGATGAAGTTGATTTTATCAATTTTTTTTCTGATTTGTGCCTTTCGTGTCCTAAGAAATCTTTGTCTAATCCAACATTATAAAGATTTACTTTGTATTTTCTTCTAAAAGTTTTATAGTTTTAGGTTTTATATTTAGGCCTCTGATCCATTTTTTGAGTTTTTCTATATGGTATGAGAATGGGTCATAGTTCAAGGATCTTGTTTGCACACAGATGTCCAACTGTTCCAGAAACATTTGTTGAAAAGGTTACTATTACACTTTTATCAAAAGTAACTTATTACATATGGTGAGCCTATTCTGGACTATCTTTTCCAGGGCTGAGCAAATCTAGCTCAATGTCTGCTTTTGTAAATCACTTCCATATTGTCTGTTGTTGCTTTTCGCTACAAGTGCAGAGTTTAGTAGTTGCAGACAACATGGCTTACAAAATCAAACAATCTTTACTATTTGGTCCTTTATAGAAAAAGTCTGTCAATCTCTGCTTTATTCCTCCCACTGATTTATGTGTTTATCTCCTCCACCAATATCACATTCTTACTGCAGCTTTAGAGTCAATCTCAATTTAAGAAAAATTAGTATCTTAATAATATTGAGTTTTCCAATCTACAAACACAAACTGAAAATATATCTTTCAATATACTTGTCTTTAATTTTAAAGTGGTTTTCAATGTAATATTATTTAATAAAAATATTTTAATTGAAAAAATCAGACTTCAATTTATATTGACATGTATTATGTCATGAAGTCATGACATAAGAAAAGGTGACAAGTAAAAAGGATATACACCTGTTTGTAACGTTCCACATTTACACCTTCCAATTGACTGAGGCGCACCAAATTTGTTCCCACTAAAATTCTCAGTTCTTGTCTTTCTCGTTCTCTTTTTTCTCTATCTCGGCTATGTCCCTGATGCTGCATTCGCACCCAGAGCTTGTTCATCTCTGCAAAGTTAAGTAGTACAAAATCCATGGAATCACTGATATCGCCAGTTGTTTCTTCACTGCAAAGAGAGTTGAAAAAAAATCTTTACATACACTATTTACACTATAGGACCATCTTACTGTTATCGTTCTCCTTTGTGTGTTTCCTTCTTATCTCTTTAATACATCAATGTTTTATAGAAGAAACTTTCAACTTCATTGGCTCAGTGTTCAATTTCAAGGGAAATAGACTCAAGAGAAAAAAAACACCAGGGAGAGGACACAGTACAAGTGTAAAGGAACAAAAAACTTTCCCTCATTTCCTACCCTGGGTCAACTTGTTCTCACAACAACTCCATTAATTCGAAAAGCTTTAAAAAAATGATACTTATAATATACTAACTACGTAATTTTTTTAAAAGATTTTATTTATTTATTTATTTGAGAGAGAGAGAGAGCACGTGTATGAGTGCACAACCGGTGGGGAGGGGCTGAGGGAGAGGGACAGGGACAAGCATACTCGTGCTGAGCACAGAGTCCGATGCAGGACTCAATCCCAGGACCCTGGGATCATGACCTGAGCCGAAGGCAGATGCTTAACCTACTGAGCCACTCAGGCACTCTAACTATATCCTTTTACTGTTGAACATTTTACGTTTTCAACTGGAATATAAGCTTTGTGAGGGAAGAGACCATGTATTTCCTGCTTATTTTTCATCTCGTAGGATAGAGAACATAGTTTTCAAAATTTTTTAATGACTGCCTAATTAAACGCTCAAAATTGACAGTCAAATCATAATAAAACAACCTCACCATCTTCTCAACACCGTTAAATTTTTACCTTTTCTATACCATTTAACTTTATCACAGGCATGGTAAATTTTTATATTTTTTCTCTTAAAAAGGAACTGATACAGATATACTAAAAACTACTGAACTGTACACCTTAGAAATAAATGAATAAATGAACTTAAACAAGGAGTGCCTGACTGGCTCAGTCAGTAGGACATGCGACTCTTGATCTCGGGGTCCTGGGATTGAGCCCCATGTTGGATGTAGAGATTACTTAAAAAAAACAATTTTTTTAATAAATAAATAAACTTAAAAGGAATTAAATTCCTCAATCTAGGAAATCTGCACATAAATAGTTCACCTAACTGGTTGCAGACCACAGCTGGCTGACCATCTACCCCTATGTGGGATTTAAGTGCAATGGACGTGGATACTGGAACACTGGTCACACAAGAGACAGGGCTCTCATTGAAAGTCTTTTGTTTCTTCTGTTTTGACGTTAATATGTAATTTGTGTATAGAGATAATGTAAATCACTTATATCCAGGGTATCTGGCAGTCCATAAATGACAAAAACTGATTAAGACATTCAAGAAACAACACGAAAATTAGCTAGTTCATAGAATAAGTTAAGCATATGTCAGTACTTCATCACAAATATAACTTCAAAATATAATTCATTTAAAAAGTCCCATCGTCAAAGAATACTTAATGTAATGGAAAAATGCTCTCATAAAATTACGTTTAATGAAAAAAGCAGGTTCTAATAAGTAATCCACAAACACAATTTTTATAAGAGTATATTTTGCATCATACCACATATGCTGAAGGAAATCTCTACATGAAATGCTACAAGTACTGCCTGTGGGTGGGAGAAATATTGATATTTGTTTTTTTCTATACATTTGTCTATACTTCTTATATATTCTACAACAAAAAAGTATTAACAACTAAATCAAAAAAGAAAATCACTTACTCTGTTGGCTCTCCTTCATCAGGCAAGATGTTTCTGGTACACTGAAGAAGATAGTTCCGAAGAAATAAACCTCTCAAGGGATGCTGCACACCACGACACATTTCTACCAAATCTTTCAAAATATCTTTCCTGGACTGAGGAAATGACTTGACATATACAACTCCAACTGTGATCAACAGATAACTAGGGAAATTATAAGGAAACATTTCATTAAAATATTCATAAATAAATAAAATACTCAAGTCAACAATTTGATTGTCTAAACATACTGAATCCAAACATATTAAGCAAGACAGGGACCAGGTTTTTCTTCTGCACAATGAAAAAATATCTAATTTAAAATATAACAACTCACTGACCTTCCCCCAATCTATACATATATTTACATACAAACTACATACACATATATTTACAGACATACAAAAATATATGTGTACATATAAGTATATAAATATGTACACACATACATATATACATACATAAGTATCATTATCACCTTTAAACATACTAGTAAGAGAATGTCATATTAATTTTTCTAGTAGCCAAGACATTAAACAAAATAGTATGTCTACTTTTTCTATTTCCAAAATTCTTCAATTATCCATATAGAAATAAAATTAATTATACCTTAAAACTTAAAAATCCAGAATATCTACCAAAATGTTAATTTCAATTTGTCAAGAAATTAAATAACCTTAATATTGGTTTTTAAAAATCAAAGTGGAAAATGCAGATATAAAAACCCTCAGATTCTCAATTACTTACAGCCTTGGGATAATGTTTCCAGCATACTGTACAAGTTCATAGAGATCTGCCACTTTTCTTCCTTTAGCAAATTCATCTGTCAGGTAGACTTCCAAGTAGTGTAGTTCATCAGAAATAGCCATATCTTTTAATTATGATTAAGGACTCAAATAAATCTAAGCCAACCTAAGCAATACTCTGGAACTTGCTGGAGTCATTAAACTATCGGGCAAATACCTTAAACGTTAGTCCTTTAAGAGAACATGTTTAAATGAAGACAGAATTTCAGTTGGGCTTTCCTTATTTTAAAATAAGGGTTTTTATTCACTTATATGTAGAATTTAAGAAACAAAACAAATGAGTAAAGAGAAAAAAAAAGAGAGACAGACAAACCAAGAAAGAAAGAGACTCTTAACTAAGAGAACAAACTGATGGTTACCAGAGGGGAGGTTGGTGGGGGAATGGATTATATAGGTGATGGGGATTAAGGAGGGCTCTTGTGATGAACACCATGTGATTCTAATAAAAACTTAAATAAATGAAATAAAATAAAATGCTAGGGATGCCTGGGTGGCTCAGTCGGTTAAGCGTCTGCCTTCGGCTCAGGTCATGATCCCAGGGTCCTGGGATCGAGTCCCACATCGGGCTCCTTGCTCAGCGGGGAGCCTGCTTCTCCCTCTCCTACTCCCCCTGCTTGTGCTCTCTCT